AAAGATATTATATTGTGTACGCTTTAGTGTGACAATTTATACAGTGCTGTACAGTTCTGCTTAAAAGTAGTGCTTTAAGCGCTCTAGTGCCCTACTTACTTTCTTTCAATTGGATATACGCAATATAGTACATATACGCGCTAGAGTTTAAAAGGCTCCACACCACTACCGGTCGAGCCTTGCAGAAAAACCAACGCGTGTGCTTTATTTATTAAAATAAAGATAACAACACAACATAACATCAATAAAAGTCTCTGAAAAAAAGATTATTTTCCTTTCATGGCGATATTACGACCATTCGTCCCAAGCTAGGCGCGTTCATAGGGACTATACGAAATCTGAGTGCAAAAAGGTTTTCATTAACGAGACTAGAAGAAATCACAATTTTCATTAGGCACTAATTCTCTTTCCTTAGGCATTATTCCTCTTCCGCCTAACGTTTGATGGCTTGCTCTTTTCAGAGTTTGTAAAGCTTTAATTTCATCGTCCTGGGCCCTGAAGATTTTCAGGATATTTCTTGCTCAGTTAATTACGAATTAATTAATTAGGGAAAAAGAAATTGACTACAAACTTGGGTTAAGGTGGTGCATGCTTATGATAATTGCCTTTGTTTTTTCACTGAAAATGCGTTCGACACGATCTGCTGTTGTTTAAATTTGCGAATTGCGGTAGTGGAATAATTGCTGTCATGCGAATGCAGGAAACGAGCTGCAATACGGTCAAAAGCTGTTCATAGCTTTCAAGCTATAGCTTCGATGCAATCCTAAAGTGTTACTTTAACAAAAATTTAACTCCCATACACCGAAAATAGGTTTTTTAATGATCAGCATAACTGAGAATATGTTTTTCTTTTTGAAAGAAATTTGTTTGCACTTGCAAAGATAACTTTTTACAATAAATGCGTCTAGTTATGGAATTATATTTTCCGAAAAGATTTGCAATAAGTTTTACCATAAGTGTAACAATGTAATCTTCTTCGGTTTCTTTTCCCGAACAGTAAGAAAACATCAGTCATTTTTATGTTGTAGTTGAATTAACTTTAAGCCTCAAACCTTTTTGTTTTTCTTCTTTCTTTTGTTCATATTCTGATTTATGTTTTCTTAAGCTTACGCATAAATTACGGAAGAGTTGATTACTCGAATAAATTAACGTAAATAAAAACGCTTCCTTCTCGTTACCATCCGCCTAAATTATTTTCCTAGTACACTGTCTTTGCTGTTATCATTGTTGGTTTCCCTTTTTACATTATACATTACAGCCAGAAAGTATGCTTATAAAAATTTGTTTATTTACTTAAGTGCGTTTGTAATTGTATGCTGGTGTATAAGTCTAATGAATTTTACAAATTCGTTGTCCTTTTACCATTTACAGGCTTTTATGTTCTTGTAGTTATTAAGAATCGTTACGTGGCTTCTCTGTATTCACTGAGAATGACAAGTTGCTTATTACCCATCAAGACATATTGTGGTTATATAATAGACTGTTACTAAATACTTCGCCCTTCTCTTTCCAATGAAATGTTAGTTTGTCTTCACAATTGCTTTGCTAATGTTTTCTACGCACGGTTGGCTAATGCTTTCCGACATTTTCATGTTTTGCACAAAATGTCACTAAATTTACGAAAAAAATTTAATTATACTTTCCCTGCCGCAGATAAGTAATGACTTTCAAGAGAGCTAATGTTTTTATTCGCCTTTGCTTGCAATTAAAGCTCAAACGCTTACATTCATTAAAATTCGATTACAGTGTCAAACTTCCTTTGCCTTTTAGAAGAAGAATGATCTTCTTTTAAGAGATTACAAGTAACATAGTATTTTTTGAGGGCAAATTTAAATTTTGTGATTATTTCAAGTCGTTACATAAAAAAATTATGGTGGGCCATGGCTCAACATTAAATGCCCTACACCGCTTTTCTTAAAACCTTTATTCGTGCACTTTTCAAGATAAGGCGTTGTAAGCGAAGCGTTACTCAATAGCTTTTGTCCTTGGGCCAAACGGGTCGATGGATTTCATCAAATTATCTCAACCATTGCGACCTGAAGACTGAACACAAGAATACAACACGGACAGATAGACAGACACGCTTAGATAGGTGTAATAAAACACAGGTCTATATCGGCTTCTTCTGAGTGTTGTATATATATGCATAAACTTAATATACCCTTGTACCACATAGGGTATAGGGTAAAATATGAATTTTTAACCTTTTAGTTCCTACTGATCCTTTTACGCAAACCTAAGGCGTACTTCGCAGAAGGTTTCTCGTTGTGTTCGGTGTGCTCGGTCCCAGGATGTGTTCAACGACTTCTAAAAGCTTTGCAAGTTGGAATAAATGAATAAATAAAATCTGATGTAACAAGAAATTTCGTAGAATATATACCTACCAATCATTTAGAGGTTTTATTACAGGCACGACTTTAAAGTCGTTTCCGATCGGATGCGTCGCCTATCGGCAAGAGTATATCGGATTTTTGAATACCTTCTTACGCTTATTCTCATGACATTCACGTAATCCCTTAGTTTCGGATAACCCGCCTGCTTTAAAGTACTTTTCAAGTTACGTAAGCATTGTCCTTAACTGCATGTATCCTTTCCTTGGTCTGGCCATAATAATTATAAATATTATTTCCAGGGCTTTACTTATACGACAACTTTGAAAAAAAAGGCTTCATTTTTCCTTAACAAATTCTTGAATGTTCAGCATAATGGTGTACGTTGTGCTTATATTGCTTGCATCCGTTTCCATACTAAAATGGCATGCAATCGAGCTGCAGTTAGCATTTTTGCTGAAAGGTGAAAATGAAATGTGATAATAATATCAGTATTCTTCTGTTGTTTTCCGTCAACTCGTTATAACCATAAAAATAATTTAATCTTTATAGTATTTTGATTTCATTTGCTTGCCATCATACACTTGGTGCGTAACGATGCCAGTAAACAAGGAGGAGTATTTTTACGTTAAGAGCGCGTAAATAAAGAATAAATGCTTTGCTAGATAAGCGCAATAAGTGAACCACCTCAGTTGAAATAAATCAAGGAGAAATGAAGAGCAAACTAACAGAACAAATAACCTTTTGAAAGTTTCACCCAAAGGGGTTAACAAAATCAAGTTATCTAAGAACAGACGCAACGAGGACTAATTGAAGAGACAATGAATGAAAAAAGAAAAAAAAAAATGAATAAATAAAAAATACTGTTAAAATCTAGAGTTATTTTATTAAAGTGTTGCTAAACACATGTCCGCACTTTTCTCGGAGATATTTGTTTTTAAGTTCTTTGTTTTTTTTTGAAAATTACAAAAAACTACAAGAGCATTGCACAGATTAAGTGGAAAAAGGAAAAGTAAAAAAAGGAAATTACATTTGCTTTCCATAGCTCCCACCCACCACGTATACCCTTACAAATAACGAAATTTGTGCAAATAATTCCGCTTGAAATAACATTAATGCAGAATATGTTGCAAGCATTCAAAGTGCATTTTAGGGGAAGATATCTTAGGGGCATTTTCCAAAGCGAACGACACTATAGAAACACATGTGTGTGTAATTTTCGATTTTTCAATCTTGACAAATATGACAGATAGACATAAGGACTGATAGACAGATAGATAACCATAATGAATTAGAAAATTTTTTTGTCCTGAAATAGCATAGAGTAGAAAATAGGATACCTGCCACATAAGAGACAGCATTCTGTATAACTGATAACGAATAAGAAGCAAGAAGTAATTTATAACGGATAAGAGACGGAGAAGGGGCATACAATGTTCAGCTAATACTGACCTTACGAAATACTTGTGTATTAAAGACGAACTCCATGACACCTTTTTTGATCGAAGCGATATTTAAAAGAAAAACAAGAAAACGCGATTGCATTGGACTGCAGCCAACCATTAAATACTCTGCACCGCTTCGCTTAACATAGCTATGCACATAACAATACAACGAAATTGGGGCGTTATAAAAAGGTGTACAAGTGGTACAGACGGACGGACGAACAATTAGAATCACTTTCTGTACCAACCGGTACAATAAAAGATGGGTCCATTTCAAATCGTTCCGGACGTGCGCACAAACTTGTGGCAAAAGTGGTGTAGGGTGTCAAAATCAGAATGTACAGCGAAATTTTGAATGAAGAAAATATGTCTGCGAGAAGCAGATTTGCGGAGCGGCGTTATCCAAAGTTGACCCGGTATCTGTTGTTGGCAAAGCAAGCCTACAGGAGCGGGCGTGCAGGGGAAGAAAAGGTTTCTTTGTACGACGGGTGTTATATGGGTACGATAGCGAGAAGATTCAGCCAATTTGCTGCAAGTAAGCACAGATATGGATTGTATCGTCGCACCACGTCGTAGTGTAGGGTATAGTAATCAAATAAATTAAAAATATTAGAGGAAATTCACACTTTTCTTTAGTTTCGGAATCCATCCTTATCGAAGAGCATTTACAAACATATTTCTTCTTCTTTTGCAGTTTCAAAATCATGTAAAAATTAAACGAGAACAACCTTTCTTTAGACATTTCGTGAATTATTGTATTATTTTTATGTATATAATTTAACTTGAAAATTTTCTTCAAAGCCATATAATTTGAACCCAAAATTCATTACAAACCAGCAACACATTAATAAGGAGAGTAGGAAAGAAATTACAAGAGCCTAGCAGACGTAACGAAAGAAAAACTTGTAATATAAAGTAACGACTAGAACGGCCAGCGGAGAAAACACAGAAAAACAAAAACTTCAAAGGAAGGAAAATTAATGAGAGTCACTTTGTTTTTGGCATATATTTGTGTTATATAAAATAAGACGAGCCCACCAGCCGTAGTCAAGTTAAGGCGCAAACAGACGTTGCCTTTCTTTGGAAGTCTTATTTTTTTTTTTTTTTTTTTTGTTTCTTTTTTTTCCCTTCTTCTGACAAGTTATCAGTATTTCATTTTTAATTTTGTGTTCGTTGAAAAACCCGAAGGTATATAGTGAGCGTGTGCGTTCACTCATAAAGCAAAATGTCGCTGTTTATGTGGCGTTTGACTTGGCCGCTATGTTTGGCTTTAATGCTAATGGTCGTCAAGGTTGCTGCCATCGATTTAAGTCGTCTCTACGGTCATAATATGGTGCAGAAAAGAAGCGGTAAGTGTTTCTTTCAAATTTAATTTAATAAATGTTTAAATACAATAATTTAATAGAAAGAAAGTGTTATTAAGAAAAGTTTTCAAAAAAAAAAAATTACGATTTAATTATGTTCTTCGGATGTAGTTTAAGCAAAAAGTTTTCGCTATGGACAAGAAAGTAAGAAATATTTTTCGAAACTTTATTAAGACTTTTTATACCCGTCAGCGAAGTATGAGAGCTACATTTATTTTGTGCGAAGTATAAGAGCTCCACTTGTGTTGCAGTACTTACGAGAAAGTCTCAGTATATAAAGTATACATATTCCCTACAAAGTAAATATATTCTTGATCAGCGTCAAATTCTAAACCGATTTGCGCGTATCTGTCCATCTGTCCATATGTCGTAAACATTCTCCTTGTCGCAATCAGCTTCAAATTTGGGTGTTTCGGAATTCTTGCATGCAAGTTGGTATTCAAATTGAGCCAAATCGGCCAAAGGACACGACCACAGTACACCACCACAACCTCCGCTACTAAAAAATAAAAAAAAAAAAATGCCTTTTCGCTTCTTATTTATAAATCACAACAGATACAAAGATATATTCTGTGGCTGGCCCCGAAGCACCTGTACAAAATCGATCACGCCTACTCAATATCATAAAAGATTAAAATTCTTTCATTGTTTTATCAAAACGTTCTCAGCACCGAGAAAGAAACTTCACAGACCATGCAAAGTTTGCATACCGTTGATTAGTATTAAGCGATACGTTTATAAACAAGTCGGTCACAGCCGAATGTAATTTTCTTAATTGTTTATTTTTCCAATCTCCAAAGTCTTTAAAATGGAGTGAAATAAAATAAATTTCTTCTCCGTCAATTTTTTATTATATTTAAAAAACACAATTCTCCAAGAAAATTATTCAAATTTTTTAGTATTTAACGTTCATATTAATTACAATTAATTTTTAATTTTAATAGTCTTTTCTTGTTTCGCGGTTCGTATTTGCACATTAGCGAAAGAGCCGAGTGCATGAAAGTTCTTCTTAGGCGTATCTAAAATGTTTTCCTTTTTCCCTAAATAATTTTCTATTTATATTTTAATTCTCCTAAGAATTTATAAAGTCTTTTTAATTATTAATTATTATTTTTGCGGGACGTGTAAAATATTGATACATGAAAGTTTGTACGCTTCCGTTGAGAAACACTAACACAATGTCTCAATGCCACGAACGTGTATCGTTTCTTATCGTTTCGAAGGAAAACATTTTGTGAAGAATTAAGCGAAGAAGCACTTTGGCACAAGCGAAAATTTACAAACTATTGTCGCACGTACACCGCGGACAGGGAATTGCAAGCAACACGCTTTCCTTAAATAGATCAGTTAAGCTTAATTCAAGGAAAATTTATATAAAGAAGTTCGAAAAGGACGCATGACGAGAAAGAAAATAATTGCGGAAATAATTTTGTGGAAAATTACGATGAGACTTAAGAAAACAACACAGAAGATGCAATTAATCAAGCAATTACTTAACCAATGTTGTTTATCTCTATCAACTGAGGCAAGCAGATTACTTTAAACTCATCCCTAGTGGAAGTCAACAAAATCAATTTTTTGCTTACAAATGAAGTTTTTAGGAAAGGATTGCAATGGCCACCTGTTAGAATACAAGTTAAAATTTTTGTTGTTTTGTTGTTTGTTTATCGTTTTTTTTTTTTTGTAAGTATAAAGCCATAGGCAAATGTATACAGTTACAAGATGTGTAAACATCATGTACAAGCAAAGTTATAAGTTGTTATATAAATAACACTACAACACTGCTGCATACTATTCCTAGCAATTATTTCCTGCTAGCAAGAAAAGCAATCTGTGTGCTCAAGAATTCTCTCCTAAAAGGGCTCAACGAATCATCAAAGAATATCAGAGCATTGTGTCACCCATTCTAATATCGAGCTGTACGCACAATGAATACGCTGTCGGACAGGGGCTCTCACTTGATCTAGAAAGCTCCTAACCTTTTAGTAGAGATATTGAGACCGAATTATTTTGAAAAAGTATAAATCTATAGAGGACCATCAGTATTGTATAGAAAATTGCTTTTTTTTTTTACCCTACACCACTTGTGTTACAAGGATTTATTAGGTTTGTGCTGATGCAAGCAACACCCAGGAGAACTTGAAATAGACCCATCTTCTATTATATCACTAGACTTGCTTCTCCATCTCTCCGACTTTCTGTCTTATTTTCTTGTGTTCTATTTGCAGGTCGCATATTTGAGATGTTTTAATAAAATTTGTGGCACTGACGTGCTTTGGCCCAAGGTCGAACGTTATTGAAAATAGGTTGGATGGGACCACTTTTTCGACCGTCTTCCATATAATGCCTTATTTTAAGAAGCCGTTATATGAATCGTTTTGTGAAAAAAAAAATCTTTTTCCTTAACTGTAGCTTCTTTCGCGAATGCAGCTTACAATCAATTATTGCATGAAAATATTGCATACACATCAACTGAAAGCTGAAAGCCTAACATGCAATTGATATAAGGATCCTAACAGCTAACGCTAATAACATAAATATTTATTTTTCGTGTATTTTCCTTTTTAAGAACTGTTCGCATTTCAACGGGGTACTTCAATTAATAGATGAATTCTGTTCCTCGTTCTGGATAAATTTTTTTTTATTTAATGCTTAAAATTTCCAGCACCAACTGCCGCCAATGTGGTTAGTTAAGCCAACTATCTAATGCATCTGCACTTTTTGCACAATAACCCCTCGAGGAAAATAGATTTTAGCGCTTAACTGTGAAAATCCTATGGCACAGTTGTATAATCTGTCTACAAGTGGAGAAGCAAAAGTGAATTTATGTACACTCAGTCGATTTAGTGTTGCAGCATGTGTAGATTAAAGGAAAACAGGAAACGAATTTTGCTTAAACGGATACATTCTGTCCTCAAAATACATAGAACGCCAGAACGGTTCGTTTTCTTTGAAAATTTCGAAATAAAATTCAATAAATAAATATAATAGAGAGACTTTATTACATTTTTTAGTGCTCATTATCCTTAGTTTATTTATTTTGCTTGTTTTGTTTTTTATTTTCCCAACCATTACAACGGTTTTGCTTTTGTCTTCGCTGTTAAACTTCCGAGCTTGGCCATTGGCTATAAATAGCAAACAAGAACATGGCAACAACTTTTGTTAAAGTTTCTTTCGAAAGTCTTTAAGTAGTCACCAGAGTATACCAATTTTATGCAATCATTGGTATTTTCGCTCAAAAACTTGAGAAAAGTTTTTCATTTTTTTTTTAAATTTCACTTGAAAACAAATAAGAAGAAAGAAATTATCGTTGCCTTAAAGCTCACCTTTGATAAATACGAAGCAGCGTTACTCACAACATTACTATTGTGAAATACGTCATCGAAGATGGGCGTGGTAATAAATCGATGGGAATGATTTTTACAAAAGGCTTAGTCCAGACTAGAATGGTAGAAATATCTACTCTCGGTTATAAAGCGCAATAGAATAATATAAACTCGAACTATGATCACTAATTCAGAGTGAATCTCTTTTCAGCGCGAGCTGGATCATTCCAACAAGAGATAATCGACGAACAGATAGGCAGACAAGAGGAGTGATGAACTTGATTAAGTCAGTTAAATATCGTACACTAACTGCGAACATGTACTATTCGTTTTATACGTTGCACACGTCTTAAAAACGAAAGGACGGGCTTAATACGATCCCATTCTACGGTAGTAGGTATTGAAGAAGAAAGGATAATTATATGGTTGGTTATTTTATTGAAAGGGAAAACTTCAAAGTTACAAATTATGGTCGCGTTGTTAGCTGAAGTGTCAAGTGATACAATTACGATGGAATTTTTTTCTTGTATTACAAACAGAATCATTAACTTGGCGCTATACGGCAACCAGTGACCTTTAAATTGTCTAGTTGCTTTTAAGTTATAAGCTTACCTTCATCTAAGCACAAACCTTGACCGTTTCAAGTTCAATATGCGCAAAATGGATTTGTGTTTCAGTTTTTAATTGAGGCAAATGCAATAACTCGCTCTCTTTGGAAATGTGTTGAAACAATTCTGTTTGTGGACGCTTCGTTAAACGCCTACACGCAAACAGGTGTGAAAAGTATTTCAATGTAATCCTTAAAGTTGATTTTAACTCGTTGTGCCCACGCTGGCCACAATTTCCAAGTACATAAATTTGCTCATCCTGCTTAGAATACTTGCAAACGCGTATAAGAAAGTTTCTTATAGCCTTCTTTGTGAGACATGATGGTTCATGAGGTTCAAAACGCCTGCATTCCTGTCAGTTGGCTAATAGTGGTTCACTCGTCCTCATATGGGCTCGTCGGATACATGTTAGTGAGCTTTGTCGCGGTTGTTGGGCTTTCTATGCTATATTTATAAAAATAAATAAAATAAAAAGTTGAAAATAACATCACTGCTGTTAGTTGACTAATAGTCGTTCGCTCTTCATATAGATTTCATGATTTACTCATGTGCCATCGCAAGCTGCAAAATCAATTAAAAGCGTTCGTCTACGTTTGTTTTCATTTACAGCAAATTTCTAATTTGTAAACTCCAAAAAGCAAACAATTTTAACAAACTGTCTGACATTATTACGTATTTGTTGACTGACGATAAACTTTATTAGTTTTGCAAACGAGTACTTTGCGTATCGATATTCGAAAGCAAAGGTCAAGCACTATAAATTTATAGATTTTCTTTCCAAACAAATATATATATATATGTTTTACTTTTTCATATGTGTGTCTTGGGAATTAAAAAGAGTTTTATTGTTTAGATATTTTTAAATAATGCAAACATAAGACAGAAAATGAAAAATATTTTTATACTATACTCCATGTTGTTACTCTGCTTAAGCTTCAACACATACCTCATCTGCTAAAGGCAGGTGTGCTGCATAAATAAAACTTTTAATATAAGTTACAACGAAAAACTCAAGCAGTTTTTTGTATAAACCAAAAAACGTGCAACAATA